CATAGATACGATGTGTGGGGCGTGTGGGGAGGAAAAGGAGACGGCTGAACGCTTAGTATAAATGGCTTCACCCTGCAGTTGTTCAATGTGACACCGATTTAGCACAGGCATTGGGCTTTAAAGGCAGCCATGGGTTGCCTCCCTTATCACCCAGAAATGTTGAAACCCGCTCAGCGCGACTCTCCACCTGGGTTGTGCATTCTGAGTTCGCCGGGCTTTCTTGAAAGTTTTTGCTTCATTTGCCTATTCAGGATGCTCCCCCCCTTTTTTGTGTTAACTTTCACTGTAAGAACAAGGGAATACAAGAGCTCATAGCCTGCTCGGTCTTCGCGGGAAACGAACGAAAAGAGCAAACGTAGAACAGCCCGCGACGTGGGTCTTTCGACGTTCTTCGAGGATTATCTCTGCTGAAGTAATCTTCCGAAAGCCTTTGCGGTCTTCGCGAAAACTAGGGAGTTTTCGTAGATCGTTTTCGCTGTCCTGCAACGCTTTCCGCCAACCGACTACGATACCCGAAACTCTACAGTCAAGGCCAACGGCGTGCAGGCGCAGTAGCGGCTTCTTCGTTGTGGAGGAGGGGGAAACGCGATAGCTGCTCGGGTGGTGGGGAAGGGTCGGCGCAGACAGGGTCCGTTCCTTTGCTTCGGTTCTGTGCAAAAAACGAAGGAGCTGTCCCCAAAACGTATTCCAAAACAAGTCCGGATTCCGTCCGATCGTCATGAAGTGACTGTCGTCGACACTGTAGATTGGCTGTGCTGTGCTATTTTAGATATTTCTCAAATAAAATCTCTCTGGATAATGCGGTTCCGTGAGGTACGTACACTATGCTGTTCGATTGATGATACTCGTTGAATTTCATGTTGTGAGCGGGGAAATACCCGTGGCTCTCGGCTATCTTGTGTAATCAGATATTTTCGTCAGTTAAGGCCTTTGTAGATTGACACGGCTGGGTGTCTGGCGACGTGAAAAATCTGCTTAAAATGCGGCAAACATTCCGGTTTCATGCGTACTGTCGCGCACAGACTCACCAAAAATGTTTGTTTTTGGTTCCCAAAGATGATAGAAGGATTTCTCAAAGACATCAAAATTCTACTCGTCATAACACACACACACACACACACACGCACACGCACACACACACACACACACACACGCACAAAAAAAAAAAAACGCAGCAATTTAGCAACTAGCTGTGTCTGAGATGGCGCCTACGCAGGCTGCCACAGCCCACTGACGAGAAAATCCACAGCCCAGCGCAGTCGGGCAGCACTGGCGTACACTCTCAGAACCAGGGACGCGCGCTGTAAATCGCCTGGCTCAAGACTGCCACCTGGAAACGTTGAGTAGGAATGTTCAGCGTTACTTGTATACTCAGTTGGGAAACTGCCATAGGAGCCTACTTTGAAAGAGTGGCTCCGATCCGTACTCGAGGTCCAGAATGTCTTATATTCTTTGCCATCTCTTCTCACCCGCTAAAACACACACGTGCTCGGACGCATAAGCGGAAGTACAAGGACCTTCAGTTGCGTTTTTTTTGTTTTTTTTGTTACCATTTGGAACAACACGGATTGTTGTTCTAACCTCGTTGGCATAAATTACAAATGCACGTTAAAAAAAAAAAAAGAAAAAAAATTACATTGGAACTTTTTGCTCTTGTTCAAAAACAATTTATTTCTCTGGCGACGAATAATCCGTTCAGCATGGCTCATTAAAGGCAAAAAAAAAACAAAAAAAACTACCATGTTAAAACACACACACACACACACACACACACACACACACACACACACACACACACACACACACACACACACACACACACACACACACACACACACAAAAGCGGAGGACGCGTTATTGGAGCCAAGTGACGTCACAATGGCAGAGACTCAGGAGGGAGAGAACGATTTTCCTAGCACCAGTCTCCGTTCCGGTGACCACGACGGGGACCTGCAGGAATCTGGACACTGCCTGACATGTCGTACCCTGACCGGGCACGTCGCTCACGTTTCTTGTTCAATCAGATGAAATTCTCGCTTGTCCGTTTGGTCGCGTAATGGCAGTCGTCAAACGGATTTGCAGGTACTTTTCCTCTACGCGCAAGTTTTTTTTTAATTTTTTTTTATCCTTTTGCCTTTTTTCAAGTTGTTTTTGCGAGTGTGCTTGTTTCCTTGGCCCTTTAGTGGCACGGCTGGTTCCCTAGCATTATAAGTAGGTCCCCCTTTCATATGCAGGAACGCGTGTACGTAAGTACATACATACCAATAATAGTACGGGTACACATTTCTTCCGTGACACTGTCGATCGCGTGCGTGTCTTGGGACCTTATGGAAGTTTTATGGCGCGATTTGTTTTGTGTTCGTTTTCTTACAGTTTACATTAACTTTCACCTTAAAATCGATTATGTGGTTGTCGAGGCTGTAGAAACAAAACAGAAGTACTGGCGATTTTCTTGAAATAGCAGGCCACTTATTCGTTCGTCGTCTTCTCTTCAGTTCCCTGTTTACGGTTCAGGGTGGCTGGGCCAAATGTTGAAAATACTAAAGCCAACTTTTGTGAGACTCTCACATTCCACTTCCACAAACGAGTCCCAATAGTGCGAGCGAACTTGCTCCCCGAAACAATTGCCTTGTCAGGTTGTGCGTCATCGTTTTTGTGTCGTCGTTTTTATCCTTATTGAAAGAGTTACTAGACTTCTGATATTTCAGGTATGTCGAATGCATGCTTGGATAACTCGTTGGGAATAAGTTATTTTGTTTCTGTTCAGAAAATTATCATTACGTGATTTGCTTACCCTTTTTACCGGTGCAGTCTCTCCCATTCTCGGGATAGTGTGGTTTGGTACACCAATCATGATAGCAGTGTTGCCACACCTATGCATTTTTCTTTCTAGTGAATATTTCAAATTGTTCTTCTCCTGCCTTGACTGTCCCTCGAGGCCAGTAATACCTATAAAGAAAAAAGTACTTAAATAAATCTGTTATATCATGTACGCTTACGATGACAGTGCATTTAGTGACAGCCATTGACTAATGAGATAGTGTCAATCAGCTTAATAATTGGTTTCTTTGTTTAAATGTTTAAGCAACGATAGAGTTCTTTTTGTCTTCGACATATGGCGACACTGGTTCACGATGGAGATCGGAAATTTAGCCGGTGCAGGAAGACGGCTAACCTGAGGTTTTCACGCAGTACTGATCACACGATCACACGTCGGGTGCGATGTTCATCCAGATTGAAACGGGCAGGTTTCGCGTCATTAAATAGCCTTTTGAGTGATCTCTATATCTCTTGATAAAACGTCTTGCTTATGCTGTGATGTCACGCTTTGCATCTCTTCAACGCGGAGAAAATAAAAGTGCCCGTTGTTGAGGGACACTTCCCAGTCGAAAATTCTCATTATAAATTGGAAATTCCAATTGGTACCAGTTAGGTTTTCGGACAACCAATTGGTCACTGTAATGGGAACCAATGGGAACCATTTGAAACCCATTAAGTTTCCAACTGGAATTTGTTTTCCAACTGGTGAGACCCATTGGCCAGTGTGCTTCCAATTGGAACCCATTAAAACCGATTGGTTCCAATTAAAGCCAGTTAGAATTCCAATTGGAGCTAATGATAATTTTTAGCTGGGTTTGCTCGGTCGAGTCATTGAATAACTAGCTCGGCCAATACTTCACCAAACCTGGTTCGTGTCAGTTCCGCGCCGCACTTCCCCGTTGACGATAGCATTATTGAGATGGATATGCGAGATACGTCTTTCCGGAAGCGAATGCGCTTAACCAGCCTGTTGCGCCTCGCCAGGAGTCGGCGTAAATAAGCAAATTACCCGTAGCTACAGAAGGACAGAACACTCGGACGTTTCAATTTGTCTTTTTAGAAACGCCCAAACTGTTTCTATGCCCCTCGTATTATTTAACTCGCTCTTCAAACTTGTCATCGTCGCAATTCAAGCGCGGGGAACTCCGTTGATACTGCGAAACTTGTGAGTTTTTCCTGAGCGAAGCTTGGAGAACGCGTCCAGCGAGCGCTGCCCCGTCGGCCGCACCAGCCCAGCGCCGGGCCCCGTCGGCGCGGTCGAGGATCTATCCGCGCTCGGCGGCAAGGACAGTGCTCGGAGTTCGCGGCGGCGCGTCGGGAGCGAGCGCGCGCCTGCTCCCCTTCTCGAGAGCCACCCCCGCCGGCCAGAATGGTACGACCCTGCTTTCGAGCAAGGTCACGCCGTACCAGTACAATGCGCGCTCGCTCCACAAACCGGCGAGGAGCGCGTCGCTTGTACAACGCTCTCTCGGCTCATTTGTAGCGTTGGTGGCGCTGCGCGCTGCGGCCCATGGTTTGGTGTGACGAGGCGACCGTAATTCGCTTGCAGTCGGGGAGGACCTTGCCGTGTCGAAGCGTGTGCCCGACGTTCAAACTGTCTGCTGGCTCGCTGGTGTCCTCAGCGTCAAATGTTCACCGAGCTGTGTTTATGAGACGATGCCTGCGTTAGGCCTAACCGGCAAGCGGACTACACGGACGCGGCATGTTTTGGCGACGTTTGTCCGGGCTGAACCAGCTGAACGCGCGTGTCCATTCGGCTGTTCATGCTGAGCCCGCAACGCGACGTGGCTCCGTCGCACCGCCGTGCTTGTAACCCACGCGCGTTGCCACTCGTGGGTCGAGAGCCCTGCGCTCGCGGTCCCCGCCACGTGTATTTTTTTCATGCGTGCCGCTGACCGCGTCCGAACTGACCTGCGTCTAAGATGCCGTCCGTCGCCAACGGCCGTACAACGACGGGGAAACAGTGTATGACCGTGCTGCGCAAGAGAAGACCCCTAAATTGGCGCACAATCATGGGCCCCTGAACACTGTGCGGTTTTTGTTGCGTGCGGCACGGCGACGTTTCGGACTGTCGACGTTTACCAGCCCGGCCCACCGATGAAGTCGATGTTTGGACAGAGCATGCCCGGCGGCCCGCCGGCGGACCCTTTTTATTCATCGCCGTTTTCGTCCTATTTCAGAAGACATACACCGTACTTTGGTCAGCCCGACTACAGAATTTACGAGATGAACAAGCGGTTGCAACAAAGAACGGAGGTAAGCTCGGGCTTTACCCTATCGTCTTATCGAAAGTGTGTGGCGATCGACCCTAGGGTTTGGTGCCTGTCTGGCGAGCCACCTTCGCTTTCCGTATGCAACTCTTTTCGCGAGCTAGTTGAGAAGGGTTACAGCCTTGTGCGAAGAGACTGGCATCTTCGTCTCTTGGCGCAATGCCGAGTGCCGATCGGAATTTTTTTTTTTTTTCACTGGGTATGCTTTTTACACCACGCCCGGGCCTGTCTGGCGGTTTTTCGGTGTTGTTTACATATTTACCTGTAGTTACCTGTAGTTAAGCCTATATCCGAGTCCAGTCGACTGTTTTGTTTGTGCTTTTGGCGTGAAAGTATCTCTTTGTTTTTGCTGATTGCAGTATATAGTGTTGCGTTCCTCTTTAGGTTTCCACGAAAGCACTCGTTTAGCACTCAAGGTTAATGCACCGAGTATGTTCTGCAAAATATTCGTGTGGCACAGCAATGACGTTGCAGAAATGCTTATATGCTAGCCTGAGTTTGATGTGTTTATCTGACTTGCACTATGAGTGTGCCACAAATGTGCTTTTGGAGCTTTATATGGGATCCACTTTCTTTTTAATGTGATCACATTAGATTCTCAGTGCTCACCAGGAATGGGCAACAAATTTAAAGTCCAGTTTCCTTCCCTTGTAGTTGTGAGAAATTTTGAAATTTCACTCGCTTTTGATTAACCTGTAGAGTGCATGTCCAAGTGCCCTATTCAGTTGCCCTCTTAAGACTGGGTTATGTCGAGTTCTGCCGCTTACGGAAACGACTTTTGGAGGCAGTGTAGTAAAAATGCATCGGTGCTCGAACGTGCGAGTGCTGGTCAAAACTGGTGTTCTTCACTTATAAATTTCCACAGAACATTGTCCTCCCCGAGCATTGCAGTGGCACGATCTGTAGCTAGCAGAATGCTACAAATTCGTTATTTTTGTACTGCAATCACGCCCTTGCATCCATGCTTTTTTGCAGGAAAGTGACAACTTGTGGTGGGACGCATTCGCCACAGAATTCTTCGAAGACGACGCCACGTTGACACTTACTTTCTGCTTGGAAGATGGGCCAAAGCGTTACAGTAAGTGTGTAGGGCCTTGGAAGCTCCAGTTGTTCATTACTGTGATGATTCCATCCCGGTAACATGTCCAAAACGTTTTCAGAGCCAGACGGGAACCACAGCTACAATTGTAGGCTTTGCGTGTACGGGCAACCATATTTTCCATTTTGTCCTAGCTGCGAGGTGAAGTACCACTTTTTTGTGGTTTCAAGTACAGACAGGAAATCTACTGGTGACCTAACTAGAGTAGTGAAACTTGCCTGCGTATGAATTTAAGTTGGTTATTTGTGAATTGCTGTTAGAATTTCTTTTTCTGATATGAAGCATATTGTTGCCTCCCTCTTTGTATATATGAGTGCTAGGGTTATTGGGTCATGCACTACATTGTTTTTCACTTGCAGTGCTGGTATTGTCTAGCATCTTGTATTCCAATTCTAATTTCTGACACCTAAAAGGACAACCAACCTAAAAGGTTATACACCTTTTAGGTTGGTTGTGCAGGAATGTCCAATTTTTCTTGTCAATATTGTGGAGTTGCCAAGTTAAGAGCAGTGGCCTTTGTTGGGGATTTAACCCCTTAAGTGCCTTGGACGAGCTGAGCTCGTCGGCCGCTTTCTGGCTAATAATGCCGTGGATGAGCTCAGCTCATCCAGTGGTTTTTTTCGGTAGCCCTCAGTTCCACGGACGAGCTAGTCTCGAGTAGTTTTGCGGCGCTGATCATAGATGGCAGCACTCGTTTTAGTTGGCAAATATTTTTTTCGCCTCCGCCGATTTTTGCTTAATAAACTTTTTTCAAATTTTATGTGCAATACTAAAGGAATAACAATTCAAAATAAAAAAAAAAGTGGCACTTTTAGGTTACTTTTGGGGAAAAAAAAAAATTTGGCACTTAAGGGGCTAAGTGGCAGACTATGTTAATAAACTGCAGCTCATCAGCATGTGGAGTGACAGCATGCATGCCACAGGCTCAAAGATTAGTTGGGATATGTATGGGCATGAACTAGCATACTTTAGTGCTGTCTGGTGCACTAGGGTTAGACAGCATTCTAAACAACTGTTTCTCATAAATGGTATGTACATTCGATCTCACAGATACCGTCAAAACCTTGCTCTAGTGAATTGGAGTTCCAGGTTCACCTTGTAGGTGGTGCTGCATGTTAGTGTGTTCTCTCATCATAAGAGATCACAGGAACTCTGTTGTAAGCAAATGCAAGTGTGTGAACGGGCGACTCAAGACGCTACATTTTAAGGCAGACAGACGTCCTACTGTTTTGATATTCATATTACAAATTTGAATTTTGTCATTATTAGTGACTGGGTAGCATTTGACCTTTTATAGAACACCAAAACCCTGCAGCTTCTACTTATTGAGTAAAGGCTTGAGAATGCCACCACTGAGCTTATTCAATGATCAGTACTCGAATTATCACAGCCCCTGCGCACATCTATAACATGCTGTGTGGTATGAAAGATACAAGGCAGTGGCTGCCTCGGTTATCCTGTGCGTGTGCCAAGCTTTGCGGTGCATTTGTTAACTGATAGCGATATTGCTATCATTGGTTATTGATGTCACTGGCCTGACCTAAGGCTGAGCCTCCTCCGCGGGTGGGGCTTGGGCCACCGGCATGCTGTAAGTGCGTGGCGGTTTCGACGAGGAGGTGGGGCCGCTGCAAAGCAGCATGTACGGGTGGGTCAGGTGGGTTAACATTTTTGGATTGAGCTGCCGCAGACTGTCACCGCTAGATAGCGTGAATGGTTGGGCCAGGTAGGGTTAACACGTGCCCCAGAGATACACGCGTGAAGAAATGTCCCTACAGCGTGCAAATCGTGCAATGAGTGTCAGTGAAACGTTAGTGTCAACGAAACATGCCTGTATCACTGGGATGCGTGTTAACCTACCCGGCCCACCTTTTCACGCCATGGTGAGTCTGGCGGCTCACAACACAAATGTTAACCCACCTGGCCCACCCATACACACTACTTTGCAGCAGCCCTGCTGCCTGGTCATAATTGCCAAGTGCTCGGAGCATTCGCAGCATGCCATGGCCCAAGCCTTGGCCGCAGAGATGATGTCGCTGATCTTCGGACAGGCCAGCGACATCAATACCCGATCATTGTGCAAACTGCCGCTTACTTTCATGGAGGCTCCAATCAAAAAGTGCTCTGTCACCGTGTACAGGACTTGGTTAGCCTTTGTACTCTGGAGGCTATGCACAGTGGGTGTTATTGACCCTTTTTTATAAAAGCTAAGTATCATAGTGAAATGTTGACTGCCCCTCCGCAATGTCCGGGAGGTTTATTTTCAAGTTCTTTCTACCTGCCATGACCACCTTTGAGTTTTGTTTCTTTCTTAAACTTTTGGAATTGCTGAATAGAAATTTGAACGGGAGAGGAATGAGGGTGGGGATTGACATTCATCATACTTTAGGAGTCATAGACCGAATTTCCTCGGCTCTGGTATAAGACTGACTTCCCTCAGCTCTGGTATGGACAACTATACTCGTTGTCACCTTAAGAAAAAAAGTAAGTGTGGTGCATTGCTCGTATGCCGTGCAAAGTAGTTCTTTCAAGATTTAATTGTCTGAGGAAGAAGCAAACACCAAAAGCAATGCTTTTGGTGTTTGAAACATGTGTTTTGACAAGAGAACATATATCTGATCTACAATGCACCTGCATATATGTTGATACTCTACATAAAGAGGGTAATTAACTAGTAGTGCTTCGCGAGGAGCCAGACTTTTGTTTACTCCGGTTCTTGATGTCAAAACTAGTATAGTCAGTTGTCTTTGTATGTGGCTCTTATGTGGCTGCTATTGAAGTATTTCATGTGCTAATTACTTGCGGACAATCAACAGGAACATTCTGTCTTGTTTTTATGATACACATTTAAATGGTGGTGTTGCTTTACTGGAGTGCGGGGGTTAATGTAGAAAAAAAAGCATAGTAGCACTCTGGCATATAATGTGAACCAAGGAAATAGCGTAGATGTAATAAGACAAATGACTACACCAATGCAAAAGCATATACGAGCATATAGAACAAGACAAAACTATGCCAAGAGTAAGATTAGCATTTGTTTCAGTTATCCATGACTGGTTTAACATTCAGTTGCTTTGTGTAGCGCCCCTCTGCTGTATGTAGTTTGCAAGGCCAAGCTAATCTCCCGCCAGAACTCCAAGGTGACATCATATTTGTGTAGACAGTGACTGGGTAAAATTTCACATGGACACTGCATGCTGTTTGGCATACATTTGCCTGCACCAATTTGTTGCACATACTGGCCGTGCGCAAATTGGATGCTGTGCAGGTTACAATTTGTGAAACTAACTGAAGTGGTTTCAATTTGTTGCAGCTATTGGGCGGACACTGATTCCGCGCTACTTCCGGAGCATCTTTGAAGGGGGCGTCACGGACCTGTACTTCAACCTGAAGCACCCCAAGGAGTCGTTCCATAACACCACCATCACGCTGGACTGTGACCAGTGCACCATGGTGACACATCACGGGAAAGCGTCTTACAGCAAGGTAGGCATCCCTCCTTCTTGGTCTGATGGGTTTTCTGTGGCCAGTTTCGTGGCATTTCATTGTCTCCTTATGCTCCTCCCTGGAGGGATGGGTGTGTTGCCAGTGGCAGCAGTGGCATAACAGCTGTTTCATCACACCCTGTTGACCACGCCTTAAATACACGAGGTGACTGCAGTACTGCAACAAAATTTTAGCGCCTATTTTCTTGTCTAAATGTCTATCACGTTCTCGCCACACAACAGAGACGCCAATTTTTGGCTCGTAAAGACACCAAAAGTTTTCAAACGAATAAACCAAACGTCTCATCAAGCTACCCATAAAAGCAGTGCGGCTTCATGGAAATATGGTGGCAAGTTGTGTGCTTGCGAGCACTGTGGGACATGGCCAAACTGGATTTCCCTTCTTTCTCGTGCCTGTTCAACTTCTGTGGGGAGCTGGCATCCCGAACGGCCAGCTTGTAATGCGTTGACACCACCAAGTGGCGAAACTCACAGCAACGCCAGCTTCTCTGTAGCCTTGCCAATGAAGAGAAATGCGACGTCACGAAGGCTCCAAGGGCGCCGGATCTTCCGAGATGTATCGCGCTCTCAGATTGCTGCCCTTAGAGAACTCGCTGGAATCGCCTGTTCGGAATGAAAAACTCAGCCATCCGTTCAAAATTCAAACATGTGATTGTCGTTAGCAGATTTCGTTGATCATGTTTAACTCATTTTTGAATGTAAGAGGTATATTTCAATTTTCATCTCAGTATCCCTTTAATGCGTGCGCAAGTTAGTCCATAATTGGTGGTGGCAGTCACGTAATCAGTGCCTGCTCACTATTGTGGGCGAGCTCAGCTATACTTTGGTTTTTACTGTGGCATGTGTAATGATTGTGCTTTATAGAGGTATCCCATTTCTAATGTAGTTAAAAAGTTTGCTTGTATGTGTATATAATTTAGACTTGTTAGATATTTCGGACCTAAAGGAGGAACCGTGAACTACCTGATAGAAACGGTGCATATTCAAGACTGATGTTTCAGACAGCTTGAAGTTCGAAAGTTAAATTTTTTGGTTAAAATCGTTGAGAGCAATCAGCGGGAAACGCCACCGAGAAGCCATTTGAGATTCTGTCGGCCGCACAGGTGCATTGTGGCTTGGTTTGGCAGCGCTACGAGTACTGCCAAGTCCTATCGCTAGGCGATGCTATGCCAAAGTTTTTTTTTCTTTCTCTAGCTGCGCGTCATTATTATCATAATTGTTACCATTTTGCTTTGTTCATTCGCCATTCTGCAGTCGTGGACTTGCGCCTCTCATCTCGTCTCGGTGAATCATGTTTTCGGACTACGTTGGCTTGGACGTCATGGCCCCATCTGTTCTTCTCCTGGTGCGAAGTGTTGCTAAGAACCACTGAAAGAACTTACTTGACCATAATGCTAGAAAAGGCAGCGATTCTTAAGCTAATAGAAAGTGGCCGAACGCAAGTGGAGGCGTAACCTGAAGCAAGGCACTATTGACGGCTTTTTTTTAAGCCAGATTAGACGTAATAGAGGCAAGTTTTTTTAATCTGCCAATTTTTCAGACCGCTATTATTCCGTTGTTTTTTCAGTCCCTGTGAAGTCCGAACTATCAATCTGCAACTGTTTTCTAGCTAGCAAGAGCACATGCTTTCACATAGAGATGTGCAAATACACAAGTTTCACCTTGACAATGCGCTTGTCACATCCATACACCAGATTTAACAATAGACTACAACAACTCTCAATTAAAAAACTGGCTGCATGCTTTGTCATTTTGCCAAATGCATTTAAATGCGGTAGCTTTATAGGGTGGGTGGTGCTCATAGTTCGGGTGGTCCCTAGGGCAGGATGACCCTTAGTTTTTAGTGCCTTGGGTGGGTAAAGTTTTCAGTTCAGATCGTGCCTTGGGCAGGGTTTTGTATGAAAACAGATTACATCACACCATTGTCTCTCTGTGACGCTGCGTGCGCTTCCCCTCAGGACTGCCCCGATTCAAAGCCTTTGCGCTGAATTTTCTCGCTCACCAAGAAATGGGGAAGCACGTTTTCTGCCCTTTCCTCGTTCCGTGTGCTCTTTCTACATCACCTCCTTTTTATTGCCCTTTCCACCCCTCTGCTCCACACACTTTCTCCCACCACCTGCTTCTGCTCCTCCCGTTCCTGCGTGCTGTGTCAGTAGCTCAGTCAGCAGCGCCCTCGGCTTTAACGATGGTGACTGGGGTATGAGTGGCAATGACGCACGTGGATCTGTGGGTTATGGTGCATGTCACATCTTGGATGCACGGTCTCCATACATGGTGTTTGTAAGTTGTTACCCCAATGAATTAATTCTCCATGTCGGCTGCTGAGGTGTAGAGGTGAAGGTGTTGCAGTCTGACGAGGTAAATTTGGTGCCTATTTGTAGCACTGTATCATTCCAGATTCAGTGGGCCATGCCAAGTTTAGTAGGGAGTCGTGTTGGTGAAATGCTTTTCGACGGTATCAATGCTCACTGTTTATTTTCCATTGAAATATGAATGATGATGATCAGGATGTCAAATCCGTCCTCCTTAGCATCGTTCAATCCATCATGAGCCAGAGGTTTGCAAATTTTGTTGTGAGGACGTCCGTGGCACTGGAACCGCTTACACCGCAGTTACATTGTTGGGATCCTTTTCTTGGGCAGTTTTGTCTTCTCCCCCACGTATGGAACAAACATCAGTCTTTCCGACTTGCCATTGCGAATCTCGCGTGACAATTTAGCTAAAAAATGTTAATTTGGGAGATAATGTAAGCTACTTAATTTTTGTCAATTTTGCAAATTGCCTATGATTTGCAATAAAATAGTCATGCAAACAAATCTTACAAGATGTCAGTATTTTCTAAACGGTGCTAGGACACTATGCTGCATGCATGCACATGCATGCATGAATACATTCGTAGGATCGCTCCCGATTGTGCATAGTTTCTATCATTATTTCTGAAATAAAATAGGCCATTATCTGGATTGCTCCTCTAACTGTCGAACTTAATTTCACCCTTTCACCGACAATTTCTGCCAAAGCGTAACCTGAATTTTATTGCATCTTGATGCTACTCGGAGTCCTCGACTATAGCTGCCACAATCTCGTGTCTATTTGCTAAGGGTAAGGCAAAAGCATACCTGCGGATGGGGTAATCCTGGGACATGGTAGACATTGGCTGTAGTTTGTGCCACTGAGCTGAACCCAAGGGACAGTGTTGGCAAAAAACATTGCAAATTTTAATAACCATAAATGATGTGAAAACTTTGCGGGGGTTAGATTTGTGAAATATCGAGATCCTGAGAGAAAAGTTGTTTGCAGTATGTTTGTGTTTCTCACGGGACCTGCAAGACCACGGTGTTCTACTCTGCTACCAATATTTGCATTAGTGACATTTTTGTATTCTTTTTTACTTTGGGGATCTGGTGTATTGGAACGTTTCACTGCATGTTGTAGAATATTTTTTTTAAAAGACCTAGTACTGTTGCTCTTTGTGTGCTCTTTAAATTGGTGATCTACGCTATTGAGTGTATGCAGTTTTAAACTCTGTTCATTTTTTAAACATGCTTTTTAATTCAGATATTTTAAGTTTGTTTTTCTTAAACTTTCTTAACCAGATTTGTTTAATAGCCGATTTCGGGGTTTTAGGGGTGGTTCGATGGGGCCTCACAGAAATGACCCAGTGCAGAACATTCTCGAAAGCGTGCATCGAAAAGTTTGCACGTGAGGAAGTTGATTTTGCTCTAAACTTGGATGGCACGGAACTGTTTGGTGGGGAGAGCGACCTGTTGCTCAGGTAGGGTCAGACGGAGCTGTGGAAGAGGAGGATCCTCTTCTGCGAGGAGAGGTTGGGCGAGGGGGTGCCTACCTTTAATTGATTGGGTTGCCATGGTGAACTGGCTGTATTGATCCCGTTGCCGGGGCGACCGCTCCACATGTTTAGATTCGTGGGCGCTCCCTCCCGCGATGTATTGATTGAGGGGTCCTCTCCTTCCTTCACCCTGAGGTTTAGGAGGGGGAGGGGAGCGAAACTTTGCCAAAGTATTTGCATACAGAGTTTGGTCAAAGTTGGCCCGGGTATATAGTGCTCGGAGAGCAGGGAGGGGGCTGGCGTTGGCCGGCAGGCTTTCCCTCTCTGTGGCTGGTGCACGGCCGGATCGGAAGCGAGCTTGACCTCGCCGCGAGCACCCTGACTGAGTTCTCGCCCTTTTTCTGTTTGGTTTTAGGGGCTTGGAGGGCAGTACCCAGCAGACCCCTTGAAGGAGCAACTTGCCAAAGACAATGCTGTCATTGTAAGTTTATCATACTGGTCGGAGGTGCATTACATGCTGTTGCAGTTTGGCGTGAGCCATGCAATGTGGCGGGATTGTGTGTTTATTTTGTTTGTTGTGTACTGGCTGTTTTGTGAGCCAACAGGCTCTTTGTATGAATGCATTTTGCTTGGGTGGGTTGGAACCTGTTTGCATGAGTTGTTGGTTGGTGGGTCATGTAGGTACTAATGCGTTAGCATTAGTACCTACATGACAGGGAAAAGCCGATTCCATCCGTTTGCTGCCAAAACGGGAAAGGGAAGCGTGCCATGAGAGAGGAGGAGAGTGGTGAAGGACAAAGTCGAGAGGGAGGCGACGTTGTGGGGCGGAAGCCAATGCATGCGTGGGGAACCGGTGAGCAGCGAAAGCAGCGTCTGGCAGCGGATGTGCTGCTAACCATGCAAGGCAGGGGAACGAGACAGAGGAGCTGAAGCAGCGTCTAGCTCGGCTGGCCGAAATGCGGTGCAAGAGGCAGCGGGCAGACGCGGGTCTGCATGTGACGGGCTGGGGCGAAGTGGGCTCGGCGAACCCGCTTCACCAGAAAAAATTAAAGGAAGATTTAGCATGACCCTTGGGAGATGCCACATGCGTCCCCCTTGGGAAACGCTAATGCTGACCGCTTAACGAGGCCAAAAAGAGGCAGCAAAAAATAGGGGAAGCAAAAGAGAAAGCCAAAACAGAAAAGTGAAGAGGTTAGCGTTAGCGTTTCCGAAGTTTCCGATCCTAATGCGTTCCGCAAGGATCCACCAATGGATCTTCCTTTAAATTTTATAACAAAGTTGTCTCTCTAAAAAAAAGTCATTGCAGAAGTACACAAAAAAAAAAAAATCCATACTGCAGATATAAATACCTCACAGTAACAGAAAAAAAAAAAAAAAATCCCAAATGTTTAACGGCTATCAAATTAGGCCTATACGCTCCTGGACGTAAAACTACTGCATGAGCAGCTGGTTCCTTTTCGTTGTTGCTTGTTCTCAAAATAGAGATGAAAGCTGCCATATCAGTCGCCGACCGATTTTTCGGACCCGACATTTTCCAAATAAGCAAGCGGTCCGAAAAATCGATTTCAGCCAAAATATTAAATTTCTGTGCATATTCCACCGCGTATTGACCACTTTCCACTTTCTCGATGTCAATTTTAAGTTCTCGTGCAACTTCCGCTTTATATTGTTTTTTTTTTTCTCACTTGTTTGTTGATCTGTTTGATCATGGTGCTGCACTTTGTCGGCACCTTTGTGGCACAAACAGCGAAGTTGAAGTTGGCACCACTTGGCACTATCTGGAGACAATGTTTAGTCCGCCAAGCTCGCTTCAATACTTAGCCTATCGGCAAAAAACCTTCGCGCTCAAAGACCACAAGAACGGCAGACGGCCGCTCTTCTCAAAGTCGCACTCGAAAAACACTGACCACGAGAAGAACTGGAAGAGTTGTAAAACTGGACAGACGGTGGCCATGTTGGCTATAGCGGCTGGGCCAGGGCGCACATTGGAGCGATACCAGTGGCACAAATTCGCCCTAATTAGCCGTTCGCTCGTCCCATCGCGCTGCCAGTTGCAATGGCGAGCACCGCATTGAGGCTTCGTCTAAGGAAGCGAACCTCCGCAAAGAAAGGTTGCCTGCATGTCAGGTATCCGGGGTGGAAGAAATAATCCAGGCATAAGAACATTTGTCGACCGCGAAGTGCTTCTCGCAAGTGCAAGACAGCGTCAACTGTAACATCCGCCTCAAGATATTCTTTTTCTTTATGGTTTCGTTCACTCTTCAAAGTTAGAGCTATTCGGATCTAAGATGAGGATGCAGTATTGTTTAAATTGTCTTTTTGCGCACAGCTGTGCTGTCGCATACACCCCTTGAACTCGGGTCAGTGCACTTAGAAACTCAAAATTACCAGCTGCTGGAAGCATGCCGCGCCTGTTCTAATTCATCCAACTGAAGTTAATGACGAGGCATGCACAGCCCGATCGCAACACTGGTTCAAGTTCTATTAAAGAACCAAAACGGGATGTCAACAACACCACTGCTCATCTGTTCCTAGGTAATTTGAGCGGGTCAAAAAAAAAAAAACTTTATACATGTTGCGACATTTTGCTGTGTTTGCGCGCATCTGCTGCTATCGCGAAAGTGGTAGAATCGCAATTCATGTATATGTGTCAGTAACCCACTTATAATTTTATTAATAGAGAGTGATCTCCTGTCGACTTGCATTTGCGTTGTAAAGCGTCACCTTTTCTTCTTTTTTTTTTCGACATGTTTTATGTGATTGCAGAATGATAATTTTGAAAACTGTTGTGGTTGACTACTAATAAGATTTCTGCGTCACTATTTATTTGTTTTGTTTGCTGTTTAGGTAGAATTAAATTTGATATATTTTGAGTCTTTGTGTCGGGAAAGGATAGTCAATATTACTTCACTCTCTCTGCAAGAAAAGTTAATTTAATTTTAAATTTCAGCCCTGAATGTTTAGTTATTGGCCTTTGTGACGTGCCGTGTCCTCGTCCTCTTTATGTTGCTTCCATTTTATACATCTAACATTGCCAACAGACTGGTATTAGTCGACCGCGGAATGTCCTAGGGTCTAATGTTTTTTAGAGTTTCTTGGGAAGTAATTATGCCTGTTGTAGGTTAACTACATCCTTTTAATAATATATCAAAATAATCTAGAGTACAGCCGTCGATTTAAATATCTTTTCAACTATGCGTTCAAGTCACTGTGCAATACGGGCTACAATTATCTGCATCATTTACCCCATGTCAAATTTAAAGTTTAAAAAGTAGTAACTGCATAATCGGGTTTATTTTGTCGACAGCCACTGGGAATCATTGTAGCTATTACATCAGGAGCATCTAACATTGCCAACACGCTCCAATTGGTCGACCCAGGGATGTTCTAGTGTCTACTTTCGAGAGTCCCTTAAAAAGTAATTATACTTGTTGTGGGTAACTACAATAATGTGTAGAAAAACTAGAATACAGCCGTAAATTTCTTTCCAATTATGCGTTCAAGTCGGTATGCAATAGGGGCTACGATTATCTCCGTAATTTTTCCTCAAGTCTATTGCCGCTTACTCACTTTCTCTCGTTAACATCGGGGAACAAAATTGGCGGGTAAGCTAAGTGAGCTTAATTCTCAGCTTTAAAGTTGTTTTCAAAAAGGTAACTGCATATTTGGATTTATTTTGTTTGGCAGCCATGAGGAACCATCATAGCTATTACATTAGGGACTTATCGTAGAACATCAGCGTTGGATTGCGGGCCCCACGCAAGCTCAGTCCACCCTCAAAGTGACTGCTCCCCCAAGCAACTCAAAACTCTTGCATACTTTCATGTGTGATCTACGAAAAGTCCCTATTAACGTGACAAGTAAGCATAGCTGCATTATTGAATCATGTGACAAGATAGAGAAACAATAATTAACCCTCTCCTCTGCACAGCTGGCGATTCATGCTTCTGGTGTTCTTTCTTGAACCACGTGCCAGGAACCAAATAAAACTTTTCGGGAGACAAATGTTTTTCTGTTTAATACGATGCTATGGCGTTTGAGTACCTTTTGCATTCAGTACATTACTTAACGAAGCGCGAGGCCTGTACGACAAGTGCGCCAGCCTACCGCGCCATCTGCTCCTCGTGCTGCTAACAAGTATGGGCGCACCTTGCTAGGGGGAGGAGTGATGCTGCTGCGTATGCGCAGTGAAACTTCAGCTGCACAGCCCTTTTGCGTAGGACGTGGTATTGAGGCTACAGGGCAAAATTAAAATAATCAAAATGGCGGCGACTAAGCTCGCGGTGCTATCTTAGCGGCTGTTTTGGGGCTGTAAACTGATGAAATCACACAAAGTATGTCCGAAATATTGAGCAATAAGCTTTCTAACGTCCGAAATTTCGGTCAGTGTTATACATTAACTCTGTGGGGTAAGTGACGGTTCGGAGGAAACGTGCGAAAATTCGGCGTCCGAAAAATATATCTGTGACTGTAGTTGGAAAGGGCAGCAGCTGGGATAAAGGGGAGAAAATAAATTGCCCAATTTTGGGCCTTAAATAATTCTTGTGAAGCACTCTTTCCTATCCCGTGCTTTGCAAATGCTCCGCTCTTGCGGCTACAGGAAAGTTTGGGCTGTGCCTGATCTCTTGTGCAGGTGTGCACAGAGGGTCGGCTCATTCTGGAGTTCACGTTTGACGACCTCATGCGGATCAAGTCATGGCACTTTGCAACACGCACCCACAGGGAGCTGGTTCCGCGAAGCCTTATTGCCATCCAGGTGAGATACGCGGTACGTTCTTTCAGAAATCTTTTTACCCTAATTCTGTCTGTCTTGTCCTTTTGGCTTCACCATTTATTTCCTCGGCTGGGGGAGCCGGGCTGTGCATGTGGCATTCCGTTTCAGTCTGCAGTGTGCTTGGCATGAATATGGCGAACAGTGCACAACAGACGGGCACTGTAGAAGCAAACAGACAGTACAAGTGCTGACTTATAACTAATATATAGAACACAGAAGAAAGGAAGATGACAATAATCGAGGGGGACATATTCATGGCACGAAAAGCGCATGACACACAACAGAACACAGGAAGAAAGAAAACAATAACCAAAAGGGAATGTGTCCGTAGCACGAGAACCGCATAACTCCCACAAAATTGCCGAGTGCGAACATAATTTTATATATGCGTGTAAAAATGAAGCCTTCTTTCCGGGTAATGCCACAGATGGTTGGCTCACCACCTTGCTACATTTCATAGCTCGGCATGCTTTTTTCAGGCTTCATAAATCTCCTCGAAAAGTTGTTTCTATGAGATCTAGGGTCTTGTGCTGGTGCTACGTTAAAAAGTCATATACAGCAGTATTATTTTTTGTTGCACAATTCCACATTTTTTCGGTCTTCGGCACCTCTGTATTGCAGATAAAAAATATTGTTCAGCACTATATCTTGGGGGGGCTGGGGGTTCATTCTAATCTACTACCAAATCTGGAACATTCTTAACTCCACGTACAGTGCTTATTTGTGGAGCATTTCGCAGATAAGTTTCACCGTCTGATCCACATCTGCAGACTTTGTGCCCACACCCGAACCACATCTGTAATGTTATTAAATTATTGTATCGTCATCTGCATACTTTGTATCCACATCTGACCCAGACTCTGTGCATTCATGTTACATCATAAAATCAAGCATGAATGAAGAAAAAAAAAAATGAAAACCGTTTACAAATCCCTGTAACGCCGAATTGGAGCGCAGCTCTTGAGGAGGAGTAGGGAAGGGTACTGAGGGGGCTCACGTCACCTGCGGGTAGTCACGTGACCCCGGGGGGTCACGTGATCTCGGGGGAGGGGGGGTCACGTGACCTCGGGGGATCATGTGACTTCGGGGGGGGGGGGGGAGGGGGGTCACGTGATCTCGGGGGTGGGGGGGTCACGTGACCTCGGGGGGGGGGGGGGGGGTCACGTGACCCCTCCGGTTACGGCGACGCCGACGCCGACGCCGCTGAGGCTGGAAATGGGCCCCTAAGAGCTGCGCTCTAAAAACTCATCTGGGTTGTACGTTATAAGTAGGATTCCATTTTTTCAGAGTTGTGAAATTCAGACTGTGTTCTTTGGAGCTTATTTTCCGCTGAAAAATCTGTATTTATCGGAATTTATTTTTGTTAAATTCCCAATTATCTGAAATTCAGAGTTTAATTTTACTCTGTTTCTAATTTTTCAAAATTGAAAATAAAAATTAAAAAAAGTCAGGGCATCAACATTCATCAGATCTCGCCTGTATTGAACATTTCTGCAGCTGCATTTGGCATTGGCGCTTTGCCATTGGCAATAACTATCTCGCAACAAATATTGAAAAGAAGTGTTGCCATAATAGGGAGTTTTAGACAAGTGTCGTCGCCACTGCGCATGCGCTGAACGCTAACCACAATTTGTGCTTTGCGTGCACTATTTTAGCGTACACTATTTTTTGGAAATTGCGTGCGTACACAAAGAGTCTTTGCGCTCCTCCAAGGTGGATTTGTAATGAGAAGTTGGCTATAGCCAAGACGAGAAGAGTTTAAAAAAAATGGCAGCTCCCAGGACCATGGTTGCTGCTGCTTTGGCAGCGTCGTGAGCGCAACGTCGGCGGCATCCTCGTGACTGTGATTTTCGGTACGGGGCGATATTGCACTCGGTTTGGAAAACCCAGTAAGGTGGGCAGCAATCACCGGCAACTTGGTGCTTGCGACACACAAACATTTCTCGTCGAAGGTATGGTGTGCGAAGGTCTGTACACGAGACCTCTCCTGGCCAGGCAACACAGGCGGACACGACCGGTCGGCCGCTCGCATCGCATTTTCATGTTTAAACAAATTTAAAATGTTACTCTGGACCATGAAAGCTTGTTTTTTCTCACGTTTCAGCATTTCATGTGGGAAATAAAAATTGTGACTATCTTGGTGGCGTTACAAGCGTGAGATGCTTGAGGTTTTGAAGCGGCGGAGAAATGCTATTCTAAAACTCTCTTGTGTAGCGTGCGCTAACGCAAGCGCTAAATTTAGCGCTAGCGTCTGCTAAAATTGCGTACGTTATTCTAAAACTCCCTAAAACAGTCAACACTTCTAAATAACTAAACTCCTCGACACAGTCGCTAGAAAGCATGGAAGCTTCCGCTGCCCTCTCCCTCCATTGAAATATATGGGTTCATAGCTATCACTGTTATAAGTACACTACCCCTCCTTCCTCTGAGAAGCACACAAATAGTATGGTCCAGACTAGAAACCTAAACAATGGTTTTGGTCGTGACCCAGAGGTACATGATCCGTTGTCCTGAACAGACCCTGACGCGTCATCCTTCCAGAGACACTTCATGTCGCTGGAAAGATAATTGCAGTTATGAGATCGTCCCGGGAGTCTGCGACACTCTGCCCAGAACATGTGCTCAAGAGAAAGGGAATTTTTCTTTGTAACACTCGCTTTATGCAGACGCGTATGATGTTCCAAAGATGAACATTCATGAAAGACAGATTATAGTCTGTGACAAGTTAAGAGCTCAAGGGAAGCTCCTTCCACCCCTTTCTACTGGAGCAAAGCGAATGCTGCAGAGGAGGCAACCTCCTCGCCGGCATTCACTCTGCTAAAGTTGAAAGAGGCGGGAGAAGTTTCCCTTGAGCTCTTTCGCTTGTCATCGACTATAATAACAGTGTGTTTTTATTTAGGTCCAACAATAAAAAAAAGTGGGGAAGAAAATGCGGTCACTCTGGCGCAGTGAAGTACTCGTATATATCTGGCAAGACGAGAATACACCCCTGGGAAAATATCACAATATTTAATAAAGTCAACACCTCCTATTGGTTTCAGTTTTAAACACGAACCCACAACTGCATGCTCTGTTTACATACTTAGCAGCAACTTGGCAGCTGTAGAGAGAGAAAAATCGTGCACACACACGCACACAATGTTTCCTTTGTTGAGGAGGCTTCTACTTTCTTGTGACGTGCGTTTTGGGTTTTCTTTGCCCAAAGAATTCCGCTCTTTTCCTGCCAAATGAGAACACACTATCTTGGGACGATTGATGACCCTGCATTGTATACTTTTTCTAGGCGTAGCATTTTTGGCAAGATAGAATGCTCTAAAGTAACCTTTCGTGAGAATCTGGTCTTTCTTGGCATAAAGAACAATTTTCTTCCCGACTGGCATATGTTTTTTGAGTAATTTGCTCCCGCGAACATTCAATGACGCACTTCATGTATTCTCGCGTATTCACTCTACATCCTGTGATCACACATTTATCGGCTGCTCGGCAAAAATGTACATCCGAACCTGTGGATATCCATACCTGCAGCCCCTGGCATTTGATCTGCAATCTGCCAAATCCGAATCATCCTTATCCGCATCTGCCACTGACTGCGAATGTCCTTGGATGATATGCTGATATGCAAGGCTCTACTTATTTGGCACATATGTTTGTTATGAAGAACCTTCGTCTTAATAATATCCAAAATTCAAACTTGGATGAGAGGAGGCAATGCTGTAGTTAAAAGAAAGCTTGTGTTTGCAAAAGGTAACTGGATGGTAGTCCTGCTCGGAGCAAGTACGGCCGTCTGCGTGGAGCTTTGCTTTTGGCTGTTGCATGTTTGTCTTGGGGACATTTGTTTGGAGCATGGAGACTTTCCTCTTGCACTGTGTGACCTTCGTTGTATTTCAGGCCCAACAGCAAGACCCTGGAATGCTGGAGCAGCTGTCTAAAAACATTACGAGACAAGGGCTGACCAACTCTACATTAAACTACCTCAGGGTAGGTCTCGGTTTTGGTTGGATGACTGTTTTGATAAGGACTGGGCTGAATTAGTAGCTGCTGCACTTGCTGGCAAGTCAGCTGGGGATGCAGCCTCCATGGTCTGAAGTGAAATTGTTTGGGTACCTCGGTAGAAAGCACATACTTTACGAGGGATGGCCCTGAAGTTTTGCTTTCAACTGCAGCAGTTCTTAGGGGCCACGCTTGGCATTGTTGCGTGGCCTGGCTCCTTCGTCAGACTTTCTGACCGGGAACTGGTGTCTTGTTTCCAGCTCTGTGTCATTCTGGAGCCCATGCAGGAGTTGATGTCGCGGCACAAGGCGTACGCACTGAGTCCCCGCGACTGCCTCAAGACTACGCTGTTCCAGAAGTGGCAAAGGATGGTGGCTCCGCCAGGTGAACAATGCCAGCCCTTGACCCTCCTCCCCCTTGGTCCCCACAATGTGCTCAGGAACAGTTCCCTTGGTTCCCAGAGTTCTGTTCAGTTCACAGCCTCCTTTTTAGTTTTGTTTATTTATGGCTCTGTGTTTGGAGAGTTTTTGAGTTCTCTTTGTAGCGTGGTTATGGTAGCTGTCTTTCGTTCCTCATTTTGACTGGGAAGGATTCGGTTGTCGACCGCAGCAGTAGCAACGCGTGTTTAGCGGGAGCAGCCTTTGAATTGTGTGGGGGGGAAGTGCTGTGCCGCGGGCTTGTTTAACTCGCCGACAGAGCCATGCTGCAGCTGACCGGGCAGGATTGGAGCGCCGTTGGGGATATAGGTGTGATATGTGGGTTGGGGACCATTGTTCCTTCTCTGTGGCGTCGGGCAGAGACGGAAGAGCGAGGACAATTCCTTAACAAAATGATTGGTTGACCCTGCCAGGTGTCGCACATCGCGGGGCGCCTAATGACCTAAAATCAGCTCAAGATATAGGTATGTGATTTACACCCTGGGTCAAAATGTGAATTTCTTCTTTTTGGGGACTTGCTGGGGCAAGCGGCATCAGAGCTACTAACACCGCAGAGATGATCACTGGGCATCGGGAAAGACTGGCACTGTCTGGTTTCCTAGTGGGAATCCTAAATTCTGCTCAGCTTCGCTAATGTCCCTTTTCGTTCGCACAGAGGTAACTAAGTGCGCCTCAGTCGTCATTTCACATGTTAAAAAAAATATATGTATTATGAGAGCAATATGTTTAGTTAATGGGAGGGTGTAGAGACCTTAAACATTCATACTGTTACTTTTTCTTCCAATTCCAAATGTTTGATTGTAGTTAGCAAGGGGGCTCATGCTTCACTCCCAGTGTGGCACTACAGCTGAAGGCATAAATTGTCCTCATCAGTTTTGTAACTTTCTCTTGTATAGAAATCAATGCCAACTGGTTTGGCAAGGGCAGGGTAGTGATAGTTTTGGCTCTTTAGGGACAAGTTTGAATCTAAATGCCGAAATAATGCTAGCAGACAAAGCCAGCCAGGGATGCCTTGCAATCAGCTCTCGTTGAATCCTTCCTCTTAGGTGATGGCACTTTTGTTTAAGTTCTTTATTTTTTTTTCTTTGGTTTTGGCTTTTGTGGTTTTGTTTATGGCTTCGTGTTTGGCTTGTGTTGTAGTACCAATTAAGAGGGGGGACTAACTTCGTGGCTGCATGCTGCATTTGTGCTGGTTGCATGCTTTGGCTGGAGGTGGTGGATCATGGCATTACAACATTAGTTTTGTATCATTGTGTAGTGCTATAAAATGTGCCTTCCCATCAGAAGGCATGCAAGTTAACTGAAGCATATCTTTTGTGTTCTTAACACTGTGCCAACTCATGTGGTGGTGGTTGATTGATGCAATTAAAGTAACCGTAAAGCCTTGCTCGATCTGCTTGCCCCGAGCAGTTTGAGTTAGCGGTGTGACCGTTGCTGGCGTTTGCTTTTTTCAGAAACGCAGCGGCCGCCTAGCAAACGGCGAAAGAGGAAATCGTCTGCTGCAAATAATGCTGGCAATGCCAGTAATGCAGGCTCTGGAGGGAAGAAAAAAAACATGTCTCCGGGGCCCCCTAACTTTTCGTTGGCATCACAGGTGGGTGAATGTGCTCATAGATTTTTCACTTATTCAAATCGTGTTCTGGCCTGTTTTGATTTAACCCTTTAAATCAAATTAGCTGCAATGATATTGCTCCAGGTTGGTGAAAAATGTATCTTTTGGGTTGCCAAGACGCCCGCAATATGACGGAGGCTTATTGCAGAGAAGGTGCTGTGGGATTTCGGTTGCACGTTGAACGATTTGCAGGTGGTCGAAATTCATCCCCACTCCTCCACTGGGGTGTGCCAGACGCCCTTCATGGGTTTGGCACATAAAACCCCCAAGTTAGTGTTTATCTTTCGAGTATCTGTTATTTGGCCCACTGACATAGCTGTATTTGATTTTGGGTCGCGCAGCAACTACAAATTCGTATAGCTCTAAAAGATTTTTCGTTGTAAATTCGTTTTGTGACTTCCTTTTCCCAACCAGGCTGTTTAAAAAAAAAATTATTTTTCCTTTGCGTGTATCCTTTAAAAGGTGTCATTATCTTTTTATCGCTGCAAAAACAAAAAAAATTCGGCAGAGACACTTAAAACTGTTTACATGTGGGCGTGCTTTCACATTCCTTCGCGCAGCGCATTCTTACGAGCAGCGCGTCACGTCTTCCTTTTTCACTCGGCGCACCGGAGGTGACATCACGGTCCCCCATTGCGTAGGCGTGGTTAACCAGCCGGTTCCACTGCTTCCGTGACAATGAATCTGCGTTGCTGTGCTTTTCTTTGCGTTTTATTTCTGAGGTGCGTCTGCTTTGAGCTTGAGCGCCGGCTGGCTTCCGTGACGAAGCATCTGATATGACACATTGGGAATTGCGCTTGTAGGTGCCATTGTTTTGCTGCAGATGGTTACAGACAACACCGGCTTTGCTGCATGGGACAGTTCATGCTTTCGCTTTAAAAGCAAAAGCATGAACTGTCCCATGCAGCAAAGCCGGCTTTTAATCGCTCCAACTACCGTAAGATCCCGTAAGGACGCCAACCCAAAATGAAGAGATAAATTGCGAAAAGAAAAAATGGGGTGGGCTATCTTTGGGAATGCGACAGCAAAAAATTTATAAAAAAGGGCGATAAGACACTGGGCTATCCGCTACAAACCACATAAAACTGGAACTGATACTGCGGATTGCGGACACGGCAAATCTGCGTTTTATGCTGCGATAAACGGTTGCGGACGCGGCAGATTTGCTTTACTGTGTTTGTGCGATTCTAACGCGCAGGCAGATTAAGCTTTCAGATATTCAAAAAGTAAATTGTGGCCGATTCTACCATACCTTATAGAACGGATTTTATGAAATGAACGCCAACACAAAAATGAATGCCGTGCACTAGTCTCCAAAGTCAGTTCGACAATGTTTCTTTGCTGTCCACAGAGGGGATCCCTGCTTTCATCGAAGGCGTTTTAAGCATTTTAAGTGCCGCACTTCTTGCGCATGTACGAATGCGCGACTGTCGGCTTTGGGAGGGTCGTTTTCCGAGCACCACTTTGCGAGCTCGTCGGGTCGCTGGGATTGCGAGGCCACACAGTGCTGCTCCGTGGTTATCTTTCCTCGCCAGTGGGACGGCTTGCGTGTAAATAAAGCCTCCTAGTGAAATACTTTTTCCCATCTTAAAATGGCAGGCACAGGTCCGTAGACGCGAGAAATGTCAAAATGGCAAATGTAAACAAATGATCACGATGGCGTTGGCGCTGGCCAACTTATGCCACGTACTGTTTTTCTTTAGTTTTGGTTTTTGGTTTCAATTGTAACACGCATGTAGTTTTTTGGGCGCCGATTTTGGAGAAAAAAAAGTGTGCGTTAGAATCGTGCAAACACTGTGCACAGGTCCACACGGGAACCTGCCACGAACTCCCAAAAACTCGGGAACCTACTACGAACGCGAATGCCACAGGAACAAATATCGCGGACGCAGCAGACTCTCATTTCAAGATGCAATAAACACGCGGTATCAACTTGTACGTCACATGAACCAATATTGCACGCGCAGATCATTGCCAAAGACGCGTGAATCCGCTAGAAACTCCCTTGTCAGACGTACCAGTACCTCAGATTACGCGGTTGATGTGATTCCCGTCGGACATTGCGTGATGTTCAGAATTTTTATGTTTTAGATATTTAGCGAAAAAAACGGGATGGGTCATCTCATGGGGGAGGGCACCCTTACGGGATTTTATGGTAGTTCATTCTACACATTGTAGTGTCCATCTTGCAAAGATGTGTTTTGATAACTTGATAAAGTCGCGCTGTGTCCTTCATTCTGTTTCTGTGTATGAATCCTTGGAAGGTTTCCTGATCTAGCTTTTTCGGAATGTTGTCCACGTGGCATCGCAGGATAGGTGAGAATAGCTGTTAAACCTTCACGCAGCACTTAAGAGAGTTTTAGAGACCATTGTGCAGTGGATGTGGTCGAGCGGGCCCCACAGTAATTGCCAAGCATGGTTGTTTTGATAATTTGCAGAACGGTTTCCTAGAAGTGTTGGTGTCGGTGGGCGCGTTAACCTGTTTTGTTGCCGCCTGCAGGACGTGATGGTGGTGGGTGAGCCGTCGCTCATGGGCGGGGAGTTTGGCGACGAGGACGAGCGGCTCATCACGCGGCTGGAGAACACGCAGTACGATGCCTCTGCCGCTGCGGCCAACGGCCTCGAAGATGGCGACGACTTTGCCGGCAACCCCATGGGTGGCGGTGGACCCCCTCCCGGCTGGCAGGGACCTCCTCCGGGACCCCCCACGGGCAGTGCCCCCGAGCGGAACCCCTCTGCGCCCCCTGCGGGACCCCCCCCGCCCCCAGAGGACAAGAAGACCTCTCCCACCATCAGCAGCCAGTAGCACGGGGGCAACACGCGTACCTGTACTTTGCTTCGGCTCGAGTCCGACTGCCGTCGAAAGCTAGACGCGCGGACGCCCTTCTTTCGCATGCCTGAGAAGAGCTTCGTGACGACTGGCGAATTTTACAGTAATGGGTAAAGAGAGGTTATGCCCGGCGTTGAAAAGCTCAATGACCCCTAAAGCAACATGTAAATAAGTGATTAAAAAGTTTACTCTGACGTAACATAACACGCAGAAAAACTAAAAAAAGAAAAATGTTTCACTATCTCTACAGGTGGCATCCTCGGTGTACACTGACACAAATGACGTAAGAGGCAAGCCAGTCACTATTTATTGCCTATATTCTCCTAAACAACCGATAAGGGGACCACGATTAGAATTGCACATCGATAAGTTACGATGAATGTATCAGGGCTCCCAAAACTTCCTTCGACCCTAATGCTGTTTGTTGTATTGTCAAAGTTGAATGTATGCCTTGTCTAACAGCGATCGACTAGTTCAGTCTCTATGCGTGGCCTTCGCCACACCCCTTTTGCCTTTTGGTCTTATTATGTTATTACCCTCTGTCTGCCTGTTCCGCTAATGCATGTAATGTTGCACCACTTCGCGCTGCACACATACCCCTGCAGACGTCCAGAGCAACAGGGTGTTATTTAAAGTGGTGATTGTAACTGCATATGTTGGCAAGACAGGTCGACAAACAAGAAGAATGCAAAGGGGACATGGCAAAGGTCGCGCACACTTTGCGGAAAAAGAGCGACTAGTGTATCGATGTGGCATACGTTTGACTTGAGCAATGCGGTGACCTTGGCATGGGAACAGTGCTAGTGCATAATGACATTTTTGGAGTCCTGGTATAGACTCGCGCACTGTTTACAAACAAGCCCTGATTTGCCTGCACCAGGTGGGGCAGCATGCTCAGAAACCAGATGCGCAGTGCAAACAGCAGCCTCACTGCAGTGGCACGACGTCTGAGAGTTGAGTTCGTGTATATTCGTCGCGACTCATCGATCCCCCAATGGGACGTTTACAAGGACATATGATAGTGACAGGCTGGCTGGCCTCTTGCCCAACTCCTGTCGGGGCTGTCGGGGCAACTTCTTTGTGTGTTATAGGAAGTCTGCGTAAACTTCTTTAATCATTGACTTTGGAACATTTTTGCGTGTAAATATGTGGGTATGGGACGAGACCAATTGCAGTATTATTTGGGGAAAACAGATGGGAGTTACCATCCTACCTCTGCGGTCTCTCTAGTAGAGGTGGCGGTTATCAAGCCACCTTTAGAAGGGGGAGAGGGGGTTGGGGGCAGTTCATCCCCTCCAAATAGACCCCAGGGTCTTGACTCCCCTCCGCACCATTCAATGACCTAGCTGGGAGTGCGTGCCCGTGAAACACGATGTGACAGATTTCCGACTGTTTGGCTCATCCTGCTCGTAGCTTTGACTGCAGTCAGACTTCAGGTGGAACAAAGTATAGGTACCTCCCCCCACCACCCTTGATCCCTAGGCCCCCCACCCTCTTGTAGGCAGCGGGGGCCAAGGCAACATCTTGTGCATCCATACACAACCATTGATTCATGGAGGGGAGGGGGCAGGGGAGGGGTTGCCTTTGTTTGTCCACCACCCTCTCCTCCTATGTTTAATTCATCTTCCTCATCTCTGTGCTCATTGCTGCTCTTTGCCCCCTTCTCCCCCAGCTTCGATTTTTTTGGGCACTTCCTTTTCCTTTGCATACTGAAGAAAAGGACTGCGCCAAGCATCTTCATGGTGGCGTTAGAAACCGTTAGCCTAGGGAACAGTGTGGTGTGTTCTGGCTAAGTCTGGAACATGCAGGTGTCAGATTGCTTTAATTTTTTTTTTACATAGTTTTATGACTTGTCTTTCTGGATATGTCCTTGTTCATTCTTTCCAACATCTAGGCACTGCATTTTTGCGTGAGGTTTTTTTTTAAAATTGTTTAATGTCTTGCATTGTGACAATACCGAAGTGTTGTCTAGGGAGGATTCTTTTTATTTTTTTTTTTCCCAGCAGCTGGACTTGTTTGCATCTTGGCTCCTGCATGTGCAGTTGTTGGTGTCTGCATTGAATGGAGGGGCCAAGGCAGCCACTGAAAAAGGTGTCGCAGGACCGTGCAATAGGTGGCAAGTGTGTGTTGCATTGATTGCTATTTTGTAATTTATTTTTGCATTTGCCCAGCCCATTTGTGGCAGGTTTTGCTTTATTTTTCTTATGGGGCATTGGAGGGTAATTTTTTTTCTAGCAGGCACTATGTTTGCTTCTGAGCCACTTATTTCTATGCTAGCATGCACTTTCATGTGGCCTGGGTATATGATAGCATGTTTTTTTGTGTGTTAATGAAGTTTGTGGGACAACTAAATCAAACTAGGACTCTTGCTCCGGTTGTAAATTGATTGACTGGTGCATTCTTGTGTATTTCTCTGTAAATCTTTAAAAAGGATTGTAGAATGTAAAGAATTGTTTTGTTCTAGGTTTTTATTTTAGACTATACATTGTCACTCATGCCATTTTCTTGGAATTGGTTATGCACATTAGCTGCATGGCTTATGGCACAATTTCTACAAAGCCAGCACATTCTTGTGTTTTGTGTCTAATGTTTTTGGGGGATTCTTTTTACTTGTTGAAAAGTGTAAAAGAATCTTAGAACTTCATGGTGTATTATTTAAGAGTATTATGTTGTGAGGTTAAGAAGTTGCATTTACATATTTTCATTTTGCTGAATGCTAAAGGTAATTTTGTTGGACAGGTACAACAGTGATTTATGATGTACATGCTGTATGAGGGCATTTGGAAGCCAGTCTAAAAATTGGGGGAATGTCATCATATACACCACTTATGTTTCTAGGGAAAAATTGAAACATTTCAAAGTGTTTGTCGCAGGCCATTTATCATTCTACTCTGTAACTTGTGCATTTAAGAGATTCAAAATAAATTGGGCAAAGGACCTTTCACCTTTGTTACATCACCATATTCTATTTATGCAGTTATTGTACAACTCTGATCTGTTTAGGGTTGTTTTCCCTATGCTTTTTGCATGCTGTTTTGCCAGGTTGAATGGCATCCTGAAAAGAATGCTTCAATTCTGTAGTCGGTGACAGGTTGAATGAAGTGGATGCTCCTCCCACCTCTCTCCGCCGAAGCAGAGTGACGCTGGAGAGGTCCAGCGTTTGCTCGGCTAAAGTCGAAAAAGGTTGGAGGAGCTTGCACTAGTCTTCACCTACTCTAGCTTCTGGAACTCTAGTCCTGAATGGGGAGCATATTCACAACATATTCTCGCGATATTGAAAGTTCACATTAAAACTTTGGTTTGGGCTAGTTGGTCCATGGTAGGTATAAGGTTTAAAACTGCAAACAGACAGGGACGATAGAAAATAACACAAAGTCCCTGTCGTTCGTGTTATTTTCTATTGTCCCTGTCTGTTTGCGCTTTTAAACCTTATACCTTGAAAGTTCACATGTGCACAGACAAACTGTACATGAAATAATACTCTGCCTTCACAAGGCCTAGATTTGAGGTCATGTTGTGTTGAGTACATGCAATAGAACTGACCACATGAGCTATCTGGATGCAGCAAGAGGCAGTGTTTGGCAATGTAGTACATCCTGTACAAAGTATGGATTACAATTCATCCACAACAAGAAATTTTGCCACAATGTTTTTGCTTCTCTATTTCTTCATTTTATGGTGCTTGCTGTGGAATTCAAAACACTTTGGACATGACAAACCACGGTTTGTGGTAGAATTCCTGCAGCTTGAAGCTTGTGGCACTAGTTGCATGCTGATCATGCATGTCAAATGCCCCTAGGAGCCAATCTTTTTTGACAGGAAAGTAAATATACTTGGCACTTCAGGGACGCCTTGGCTGGGAGTTATATTCGTTTGAGCAAACAATGCGCAGTGGATGCGATGTCGGCTGGCTCAACAGAACGCCAAAGGAAATGACTTGCCACAATAGACCTATTGCTAAATACCCAAGTGTCAAGAAGCATGCAGGGAACGTAGTTACACGCGCTGCACATGCTGGTGTTGGCAGTTGCATTTTTTTAAAGCAAAAATCTAAAATTGCAGTTCGCACGTGCGTTTTCAAGCGCCTTTTTGTTGCGATTTCAAAATATTTAATACAGGTAAGGCGAGCGAGTACAGCGCATGTAACTACGTTCCTTGCATGCTTCTTGATGTTTGGATAATTTAGCAATAGGTCTAACGACAGTGAATAGTAGCAGTCCATCCCAACAGCTTGGTGCACATGGGGCTTCCTGCTTGGCATTTTGATTGCTCAAGTCAAAACTTTTAGTTTGGTGCAGGACAGTCTCCTCCGTAGCTTTTATGCTGTAAAGCCGTAAATAATTGAACTCTGTTGCTGCACTAACGTCTGGAAATTGGGAAGAAATTGAAGGGAAAATTTGTGCTTCATTGACATGTTCAAGGTTCCCCGATTGGTTTGAGCAAGAGTTGTGACTGCAGTAGAAAGGTCCCTACCATTTCACTACTTTGACTTGCAGCTTCTGTACCATAGAAGTCCAAGGAATATACCCCGGTTTTACCAATGGCTCGCAGCTGTATCATGTCTTAAGACGCCCATTGCAGGGGAGGGAGATTTTATAGTGCAGTGTGCTTCAGGCTGTATCTGCATGCGTTGCGGCTTGACAGTTTTCTTTCATTGAACAGGTGTTCGTTTAACTACGTGGGAGAAAGAAAAGCAGATCCACGTGTTGATTCATATTTGCATACCGGTCACAAGGCATGCCCTAAAGTTTTAGTATATGGCGTGTGCTAAACTGAGGCACTTTAAAAACCACCGCTTTGAAGATTGCCCACAAGCGGTAACCCACGGTAACCGGACAAAAGCTCACCTCATTTTTTTTTTTTTTTTGCTTCCCCGGGCGAGCTGGTATAAAGTGCGGACGCGATGGACATTGCACCATTTTTAGGGGAACTGGCATCCCATCCCATTCAAAAGTGCCAACATATAAGCCATAACAGGCAGAAAAGCAACGATTTTGGACCAAACTGTAGGTCACTCAAACTGAGTGCAGCTGATAAGATCAAGCTTGCTTGACTCGAGCAGAGCCTAAAGGCTCTGGACTCAAGGTATGCCGGAGCACCCTTGTGCCACGCCCAAGAAACTTCGTGAACCGAAGTTTTTGAACCCGGAGAGTGACCGAAGAACCAAAGCAACCCTTCGGTGACCTCGCTTTTTCATTGTGCTTATGTCACGCTAAACGCGCGCATAATGGTTGGGCACAATACTTCTTCATTAGTAATGAGTGGGTTTTCTTGGGGTTCAAATTAATATTTGAGGTGAATGGATAGGAAAATTAAATTCATTCCGTAATTGAGCGTCGTAAATGTATTTGAAATCAAGGATTATCTCAGTGTTGTGAGAAGAAACGGAAGCCAAAACGGTAATATACACACCATTCAGTTGCGAAGTTTTAAAAATATTTTTAAGGAACGGGAGTGTGGCCTTTTGGCCAGATGACCAATTTAGAAAGCTGTGAGGATTTTGGAGAGGCTCGCGTTCCTTCCACCACAGCTTGTGCCCGAAGGACTAACCTACATCAGGGAAAAGTCTACCGGTGACATCGCCGACCTGCTGGACAACATTGATTGCACGCGGCCCCTTCCGTGATGCTTCTGCTCCTTCTGCGGCGTCACCCAGAGGGAATTTTTCCCTTTGCCTGACTGTGCGCCGACGACGACCGGAGTTTCCCCCGAAACGGTGGAATATGTACGACGCCATTCTTCAAGATAAAGACCGGACATACACCTGCGACGGATGAAATACCGGGTTCCAGAAGTTTGTCGGCCACGCCCATCCAAGCGTCTGGATGCTGATTGAATGCGCACAGGAAAATCAGGCTTTCGTTGCCATGGCGTTAACACAAGCCCGCTGAGGTGAACCTCCACACTCTAAAAAAAGCCCGTGCGTTTACTTTCCCGCACAACACTTGGAGAGCCAATCTCCGCAACTTACGGAGGCAGCTCAGTGAATGACGATGCCGAAACATATATTTAGACCAAAAAACGCAGTCTGAGTTGTGACATTAATTCAACCGTGACGTTTAGCATTGCTTAATGTTATAACTCAGACTGCGTTTCTTGGTCTAAACATATGTTTCGGCATCATTCGCTGAGCTGCCTCCGTAAGTTGCTGTGATTGGCTCTCCGAGTGTTGTGCGGGAAAGTAGACGCACGGGCTTTTTTTAGAGTGCAGAGAAGCCGGTGCGAAAAACCACTCTGCGCCTGCAGAATCGTCTGAAAAATATTTTCGAGGGGTTCCAGGTACAGTCAGATCTACCAAGACTGCTGGCGCTAGTGGGGTACTGCATTCTCTTCTAACCAATCGATAAATAAACTTGTTTCTACTCTAAACAACAAACCATGCGCCTGTCACATTTCATTTATCGTTGCTTTTTAGTGTCGCACGCATGCACCTAAGTTGTCCGCACACGTGAAGACCAACATGAAATTTTCTCCTGGTGAGCTTTTGTCCGGGTCTGTGAAAAAATGGGTGAGCTTTTGTCCGGTGAGCTTTTGTCCGGGATTTGCCACAAGCAGTCGGGTTACAGTGCAAGCAAGTTTGTTTCATGATACTACGGGTGGCACCATTGAATGGGAAGCCCGTTACTACACTAAGTGTGCTAAAAAAGTGTCACGAAATGGCGCGGATGCAAGAAATCGTAAGGGTAGTGATGGTAGCGATATCTCCCGTCTCTCCAGGCGCGCACACGTGATCTTTAATTTTTACACTGGCACTCGCGCGTCGACGGTAGGGCCGCCTTCTTCACTTGAGTCGGAGCTAGAGTACACTCGTTCAATTTACCTGCACCTCCTGCACCGGTGCAGAAATGTGCCGCTGTGTACTCCGGACGTATCTCAATAGACATGCCGGAAAGAAACTGCCATGCACATTGCCCATACTCTTTTCTGCACCGGTGCAAGAGGCAGGTAAATCGAACGAGCCTACTATCAGAACGCAGTCCGAGGCTAACAAATGAACGCGCGGACTACATAGAAGCACAGGCTGTCACTGTACGTTCTGCGTTCAATTGTTGAGCAGCAAAGAATATGCTCAAAGCAAGACGGTGAAAGCCGTGACGATGGGCAGCTAGCGTCCACTGCGCTCTGACTGCATAGGCATTCCTCCTCCGTCTTCTTGGTCGTGCGTTCCCTCTTTATTTTTTGCTCTTTCGCATTCGCGCGTCTAGGGTAGCGCCGCCTGGATCGCTTCAAGATAGCAGGCGGCATTCTTCAAAGGATGTCGTTACCTTAGAAATGGTATACCATTTCTAAGGTAACTAATAGTAATGGCAGCACCGCTACGGTGGGCGAGTTTAGGATAAGCTCCTCCCACCCCTCTCAAGTTTAGCAGAGTGAACGCTGGAGAGGAGGCGACCTCCTTTCCAGCGTCGCTCTGCCTTTCCTGAACTCTTAACCTGGAGGTGTGATGAGCGCTTGCTTTGGGCGAGAGCGGTCCCGCGATTCAGCCTGCAGAGCGGAGCATACAGTGTTGTACACGTTCCTAAAAAACAAACAAAAAAACCAAAGATCGTTTTTTTTGTCCGTTCTGATTCTTGGAACGCGTTCCCGTCACAAGTTCCATATGTGAAAAAGGAACTCGTTCCCGTTACAGTTAAAAAAAAATGAAACGTGTCGTTACATATGCGTTAGATTTGTATTTTGCGGATTACCATATTTAATTAGACTCAAGGAAAGTGTTTTTTTTTTTTTTGTATATATCTCCTTAAATGGGGACATACGAATTTGAATACCGTGATGGAAGAGCACCAGGAGAAAAAAAACAAAACAAGCGGAAGTAGGGTTTCATTCGTTGATATGTGCACCTTTAAAAATCTCAGCTTTTAATCATGTTCATGTTTTGGGTGGGCGATTCAGACGAGCCAAATGTACTGTTAGTCCACATTGCACGAGCGTTTCACAGCAACCTCGCACGTTTCAATCATCA